ATGACCTTGTGTTAATGGCTAAGGAAGAAACTGTGCTACAGGGCATGATTGATAGACTAATTGAAATTGGAAGGTGTTATGGCATGGAAATGAATGTGGAGAAAACAAAAGTAATGAAAATTTCGAGACAACCAACCCCAGTCACAATAAAGATAGACCAAAAACAACTGGAGAATGTGAAATGTTTTAAATATTTGGGTAGCTTGTTAACAGATGAGGGAAGGTGTACTAGTGAAATTAAATCCAGGATTGCCATGGCAAAAGCTGCATTTAGCAAGAAGAAGAATCTTTTTACCAGCAAATTGGACTTAAATTTGAGGAGGAAACTAGTGAAATGCTACATTTGGAGCATAGCTCTGTATGGGGCTTAAACATGGACACTTAGGGCAGTAGATCAGAAATATCTGGAAAGTTTCGAAATGTGGTGTTGGAGAAGGATGGAGAAGATCAGTTGGACCGATTATGTGAGAAATGAAGAAGTGTTAATTATAGTCAGTGAGCAGAGGAATATCCTACACAAAATAAGAAAATGGAAGGCTAACTGGATTGGTCATGTTTTACGCAGAAACTGCCTTCTAAAAGAAATTATTGAAGGAAAGATAGAGGCGGATAGAAGTGACAAGAAGACGAGGAAGAAGACGTAAGAAGATGCTGGATGACCTTGGGGACAGACGAGGATACTGTCATTTGAAGGAGAAATCTCTAGATCGTATTAAGTGGAGGAATTGTCTTGGAAGAGACTGTGGACCTGTCGCCTGACAGATTACTGATGATGATGATGTTACTACAAACTCAGGATGTAAATGTGTTAAAAAATATATGAGGGAAAAAGAGCAGAGGGGAAGACAGAGAGAGAGGGAGAAGTCTGCCTAGAAAGAAGACACAAAGGGAAAAAGACACCCATGTACTGAGAGCAAATAAATTGTCAGTAATTAAATGCACACTTACCAGTATGAAGTAGCGTGGTTGCATGCCTTTTCTGGATAGCTTGGATAGCTCTCCATCCTTAAGAAACATGCGCCCTGGTTTGATTATCTCATAATTACCCAACTGGGACTGTAGCTGAAGAAGTTTACTAAGGTGATCCTTGAGAGTGAAGTAAAGTCCATTATCAGGTGTTGACGACCATCATGAGATCAGTAAAAATGACATATATGACTGATAGGAAATAATCAGTAACTAAACTTCAGTTCATATGTTCTGAGCACTCAATGTATATGAACAGTTTTAGCTTATCTCATATTCTGACTTTGCACACAATGCTAGATCATATGTGCCTCAAATTTCATGGGAACAAGGTTCACTTTTCAAAATCTGATGACTGTTTTTTTCAGCCATAATCTTACAACAGACATCACAAGAGCTATAGAAATACCTGTGGTGGGATATATGTCCTGCATAAAGTTTAAATATCAAATATTACTACCATAAGTCTGGTTCCAAAACATCTTTTTTAATCAACACATGTAAGCATAAAACGTAGCATACCTGCAAGTATTATGTTTTTGGACATTATCCATCGTCCCGTCTATTTTCTAAAAAATCGTCCTGTTTATTTTTCAAAACACAACGTTTTGGAGACCGGATTCTGTCCCTGTCCTCAGGTAAAACCTATTCGGCTGGGTCCAATAGACAGAACTAGTCCCTATCTCCAGACGTCTGGAGAAAGTGGTAATGTCCTATTAATATTGAAGGGGCTGATAAAAACCACCGAATTCTGCAGGTGGGAGATCTGGTATCTAGACCAAGATTGAAGCCTGAAACGTCTCAAACATGAAACACAGCGCTGATTATCACTCCATTATGTCTAGTACAGGTACAGCTGTCCTTGTGCTCAATTAATTAAGCATTACATCATGAAGATGTGTATCTTTTAAACTCAGAAAATACACAAAATGATATACATAACTTGACAAAAGACAATACTGTCACACATGAATTCATGTTAACATAAGTTACGGTAAGTACAAAATTGACATCAGCTGTACCCAAACTTTTAAAATATTTTATTTTAATTATGTAAGGTTTCCTTTAGCACTGGATGCCCCTGAGGATGGCCAATTAAGGCCACAAAATTTCTGACTGTTAGAACTATTTAACAGTTAAAAAATTGGATACACTTGATGGCAATTTTATATTTATCTTAAGGATAAACATCAATTCAGATCTCTTGTCATTTTAATTACAAATGAACACACTTACCCCTAGTTTGATGCTCCTGTTTGCATGATCAGCCACATCACAAACTATTTTTAATGCGGTGCGAGTGTCATCCAAGTCAGGAGAGAAGGGAGATAAATGGTGGAGGTAGTCCTCCAGAAGCAGGCGATACTGAGGAATCCGCTGCACAGGTTTCAACATGTAGTGCTTCAGTGACAGTTTCTGGCAACGAGGAGATGCTTCAAACTCTTTCACTACTTTTGCAAATCTGTGATACTTCTGACAGCATTCATCCAAGTAAATACACTGTGATTCAAAGTTCTGAATGTATGATGTGTAAAGTTTCAAGAAAGGTCCCTTCCTAACAATTACATCTGCTATCTTCTTAATAGAGTTCCAGTTATTTATTCGGATTTCCAAATCACGAAGCAGATCTTCATTCAGACTCCGAAGTTGAGGCAAGCTATTGAGAATCTTATCTAATTCTGCATCAGGGATAACAGGATACCTTTGTCTAGCTGCAACTGCATGTACTGCTTGCCTGAAATCCACACTCAAAAGCTTCAATACATCAATAAAGGCTCTTTCAGAAGTCATCAGTTCCTGAGCAATATAAAATGCTTTTTTATCCTGACGCGTTTCCTCTACCTGAGAATGATTTTCATCTCTGTCCTCTGGATTTATTTCTGTTTCATTTTCTGATTCTGAATGGTGATACATTTCAAAACTCTCTTCTGACACAGGTACATCACTTTTCTGATCAGTATCTAATGCACTCAATGTGCTCAGCCCACTTGGTGGTCTGCTACCATCAAGAATAGTGAAGTTAAATCCACCAACTTCAATCTCTTGTATCTCTGCAGATGCGCTTTCGGTCACTTCCACAACTGGAATCTGTTCCTTTTCTGGCTCCTCTTCCCTTTTCGTTTGGTCAAAATTCTCTCGACTATCACAGTAAAAGTGACTATTTGAATCCCTTATGAGCTTCTGCTTCCGATTTCCCTTCCCAAAGGAACCCAGCCATGTAGATAATTTACTCTGCACAAGATTGCTTCTATCCTCAGCATCACTACCTGTGTGGTCAACCTCCTCAAATGAACTCTGTCGTGCTGTAGTGTCTGAGCTATCCAAGTCACCCAGCACTCCACTAGAAAGTTCCCCTTCATCACACCACAATGAATGTGTCTTTGACTTATGCTTATGTGCACAGGGAAGGCGGTGCAGAGTTGTCTCAGGTGAAGGTGAATCATCTTTCCAATTACTCCATGACAGCCTCCGTCGGGGTAGCTTACCTAATTCTTTCATTTCCAGTTTTCTCTTCACTAGTAATGAAGCTTCTAATAACCTATACTCTGTATCATCACTGCCTGCATTCTGAGACACATCAGCATCTACCAGAGAAATTACATCTCTCTCTTTCACAAGGACTTGTTCATTACACTTAACCTCAAAATTATCTACAGCATTATTCACAGATATATCACTGTTATCCTTCACACTGTCTACAGACTCAGTATTTGTGAAAACTGCCACTTCACTTTCAGAAAACTTTTCACTTCTTGAATATATTATATGATACAACTCAGAACTGTTCCCCTCAACAGCACGATGCTCAGCACTGTCAAGATCACTCCCAGAAACAGAAAGCTTGGATGACTGCCATTTTACATTGCCTGGTTTCAAGTCTTCTTGAGCCTCTGCTGAAGAACATTCCAGATATGAATCGCTGTGTTTTTCTTCTGCAGGTGCAGAGAATGGACTTGTAATTAAAGATTTCTCGGCAAGAGAGTGCACTTCAGTCTCCACAAGCAATGAACTTGAAGTTGAAGATTCCTTTGCAGGTAATTTTACCTCAAGCTCCACGACTGGTGAAATGTTCCCACTTGTTACTGAAGTCTTGTTGTCTACTGAACAAATATGACTAACACAATCATTGTTATCTGTGATCGTAAAATCCAAGTCACTAGTATTTAAAACCTTATCTTGTGAGATTACACAATCATTGTCTAAGTGCAATGAATTCAATGTTTCACACTCATCCACTACATTAACTTCTTTTCCACGTACACCTACTTCCTTCACAACCTCTGTCTCATTTGGTTCATTCATAGCTTCAATGTTCTGACAAATCCTGTTTTTCTCAAAGCTCTCACATGCTTCTGTAATAATTTTTTCTACTTTACTAACTGAACTCTCATTCTTTGGTCCAGGTAGAATTAACTTTCCTTCAATTACAGCCATCTGTTCCTGTACCTCTGCATCATCAGCATCTATGACACAGTCAGAACATTCTTTTCGTTCTTCAGCTGTCTGCCTGCGGTTTTTCTTCAAACTGTAATTCACTTCTGCATAAAGAGGAATACTATGAGGATGTCCACATTGTTTCTTCTTCTGACGTGGAGGTGGAACAGGTGTATTCTTGTTCCCTAAACTACATGACTCTTCTTGGTTCACTAGATATGATGCAAAGTCTGCAGGCATGTTCCTTCCCAAACTAGCACTCTTAGCTTTTGCTTCAACATACCTGAAAGCATTAGTTCTCCCCAAGCTTGCGCTCTTCTCTTTCGTAGTTTGCCAGTGCATCTGCAGTGCTTCAAAATTGGATCCAGACCCTGGCACAGCATGAGTTGCATGACAATTCCACTCTTTTCTCTTCAGTGGTAACTGAGGTTTTTCATCAAAACCCTTAAAGGGTTCTCCTTTAAAGGACTGATGTTTGGGTGAGCGTGGGGGTCGAACAGGGCTGTCACTTTTTACAGTGTCAGAAAAACCCTCAAATTCTTCCAATTTTGCAACTGGAGCCTTAATGTGAAGAGGAAATCTCCTGTTTGCAATTTGTCCACGGTTATTTGTAGATGCTGAGTTGAGAGATGGTGGTTTCTTTTTTTTAGAATGAACAGCTAGTTCTTTGCCATTTGTTGCTATTGACGGGACTAGATTGGAACGTGCAGGAATGAGCGGTCTTGAGCCAAGATTTGGAGAAGTGGTATGAATGTTTGGTGACGTTTGAGGTTTCGGTAAAAGTGGAGGTTTCACTGATGGTTTGTCAATACTGCACTTCATCACATCACAACACTGAGTCCTTTCTCTGGTTGCTGCACCAAGCATGCCATCCAGGGCTTCAGCAGGCTTAGTTTTGTGCACATCAGTCTTCTTCTCAACAGCTGTTTCCTTGCAAGCACTGACAATTTCATCATAAATGTGGTCATCCTTGGCCCTTCCTCCCCCTTGCAATCTGCTGTCACATCTAGAAAAGTACAAAATTATTAAATGCATTACTTACATCATTAAGCTAACCTTTATCATGAAACTAATCTGCCTGCTTCTTCTAGATGCAACATAAGCAAATCACTGAATTTAGTGTCTGCTCTCGATTAAAAGGTTCTGAAAACACCGAGACAGAGAGAGAAGTAAGACTCATGCAAATGTGATTCATACAATTTCATATGTACTAAAATTATAAAAATGAATATATTTGATAAGAAATGCATTGAATTTATGTTCTTTACCACACTCAACTACGTAACTTATTTCCAGATTTATGGAAGATATTGGATTTCAACCATTTTTTAAATGTCATATACTGTAATCTAAAAATACACAGTCCAAATGCAAAAATATTTTCACAGACTCAGTAATTTTTTAATTAGTTTCAGTTATTTGCTTAAACTATACTCAGTTACAACGTACACTGCTGAGCTTTTCCTAGCCATTTACATTCAGAAAATATCTAAACATGCCACTTCTACTGTCTACAAAATACTAAAAACATCATCCATTTCCATGAAGTCAATTCTTATTATGTTTTTATAGCAAAAGCATAAGAATCAGCAGCGCTGTATGCAGTCAGACACAAAATGTGCAGCACACAATTGACGATATGGTGTGTCGTATAAGCATCTGACAGGTGACTGCAGCATACTTAGTCTAATGAAGGCTTCCTATACAATATGCAAACATTATCCCTCTGAATTTTTTTAATTATTTACTGTTAAAATAACGCTACTTTGACTAGCTCAGATTATATACCATCTAACTATATCACGATTAGCAAATACTGTAACAAGTTTGAAACAATGCAGAAGGTAGCTGTAACATAATCTGAAGGACTGTCCAGATACTGGCCCAGGGGGATTGAAGGAAACCATGATAACCTTTCAGGGCAGATGGTCTCCAGCCCAACAGTTGAATCTCAGACCTATCAAACATGAAGCAAGACAGCTACCCACTGGACTGAAACGATCAGTCCCCAAGCATTCAGTACATGATAATTCCAGATGATGCATCTTTCAAAATAAGCAGTTATTTGTTTTATTACCTATGTACACACTCAAACATGACTCTAACTGAAGATAAGAGCTGACAATGCTACCAGAGATATCCCATAATCTCTGATCTCTCTTTTGATAAACCAGGAAGTGTAACTTAAACTGACACAGATACTACAAGAACATTCCTAAAATACTTTACACACTTCTAACATTCATATTACTGAAATTTTACATGATACTGCAGTAACATAGAATTCATTCTCACACATGAATAAATAGATTCACCAAGAGAATTTGTAGAAGATGAGAATTTGTACAATTTATTACTAATTATGAAGACTCTGACTGTTAGTGGTAGGACTGTCACAAACCTTACATTAATCAGTCAGGTTAATACCACTTCAAGTGATTACTGCTTTTTATTTTTCAATCAAAATAATATGAAGGTTGCTTCTTCTGTTTATATTCTAATTGCACATAAAACTTACATTAAAACATATGCAGAAAAGATGATATTATAGAAATGGCAATTACTTAAAATTTTAAATTTGTAACCATAAAATTTGTCTTTCAATTGACATTTCCTTCAACTTACACTCTTACTGTCCACACCAGTAGCAAATCAAATAATACTTAACAAATAAAAAGAAATTTCATTAATGTTAAAATAATTGTTAAGTATTATCTGGTCAAATTATAGCTTTAAAATCAATGCGACTGCAATGTCTTTAATTAGACTCAGCACCTACCGATACTAATATCTAATGGATCTACACACAAGATTTCATAAGACAACACAAATTTCAACTGTAAAGGAAAAATGCCGCCACAGCATGGCACAGGTTTATTTGACAATCTGCTAATCATAAATGGCTATTACTCCACTAACAATACATTATACATATAAACAAATACATGTTAAAAGTTTCACTTTATTAACAAATTAATTATTCAATTAAGGCAGTACATTAACAAATGGTATTTACCAGACTCGAAATATATACTTGAATTCACAGCCCTGATACACAAAATTATTATGCAATTAAATTAATGTGGACATCTTTTTCTATATTTTTCTGAACTGTCACTGAATTTCTACCACACCACATGCTGTTACGCCCCAGAAGACAGTGCTCGCCTTGTTAAAATCTCTTTGCATACTGAAAAGCAACGGAACTAGTCAAAACAGAAAATGGAAGTACAGTAGGATATATCAAACCACTGATAAAGCATTGAGATTCTGTTCAAGAGGGCTAGGCTTCACTAATATGTGTGTTCACATCTTGTCACTATAATGTAAGACATCTGCTTAAGCATTTCCTAACATCCCTCAGAGCATACTCGGGCAAAATACTGAACATATAATACATTGCACAATCTTTCTCATGTGTCTTACAAGTCATGCAAAAGAACCGGATACTGGAAGGTTAATTTTTTGGATGTGGCATGTGCAATTTGTTTAGTAGTCTTAAGTGAACTTTGTTAAAATTGTTCAGACAGCATCCAACAGTCACTTCCTCTAGTTAGTTAGTTATTTAGAGAGGGTGGGTTTCCCCATGCACCGCGACCAGTTTGATCTATTGTGCTTCCCTCTATGATATTCTACCAGTCTCTATACCCTACCGATAAATGGTGCGTACCATCAGTCCTGCCGAGCAAGCGAGTTCGGCCACATGCTTAGCGGTATCTATAATGCTTCCCCCATCTATCAGAGGCCTTAGAGACTATTGTTGGGCGGGAAACGTCCTGGAATTTGGTTCAGTGATCCCCTTTGGGGATATGAGGTTCTTTTACGTGCCGTAAAGTTACGACACGGGACACACAGCTTAAAGTCTCTCCCGGAGGACTTGTTCCCTGAATTTTTCTGCCCTTAAAAATTCGACGACCTCCGCCAGGTATTTGAACCCGCGTACCACGAGTGGGAACGTTACCTCTAGACTACGGAGGCCGCTGTCACTTCCTCTAACTCTGGGACACATTTTTAATACAACTGTTTATATATTAATACCTCAATACTGGTTTTTCTCAGTAACACTAGTTTCTCTATGAGAATGTGAATACTATATTAAAATGATGCTGGTATGTGATACTTACAATTATACCAATCCTCTAGATAAGGCAAGTCCTGGAGAGAGTAACAATATCTCAACAAAACAGCAGAAATATAACTTTGAATATCTGTGTCAGAACTACTCAGTACTCTCCCTAGAGATGTAAAAAGTAAACTGATTGGAACGGCATGTCAAGTACGGTGATTAGTGTGGCGACAATCATACTTGGATCAGTGTACCAGTACTTTCTTGTATTTCCACCATCTCTCACAGATGGAAGGTACATTGTGGATAAGGTGTCAGTAAAAGAGACTGTAGGAAGAATGAATTTAAATCATACTGTTCACAAGGAGGAGGTAAGTGCTCAGTGGGTAGCTTCCAGTCTAGCCACAATACACACCCAAGGATTGAAATGATCCAAGCCATTCTGGATATGTCAACCAGTAAGCCCAGCTACTTATTTCTAAGCTACGTGCCTTAAAGAACTAAGCTACAACAGCATGTAATTGAGTTGGGCACCATGGATTAAAAGAGAATATTAAAAGAAATAATAAAATCTGTAAATTATATATGCAGCTGGAAAAGTACTATTAAATAATCTTTATAGTATCCTGTTGGGTGTCATTTACAAAAAGATACTGACGCTGATCATTCTGAGCCCTTATTTATTTGGATGATTATAGATGACCATAAAATTTATTTCTAATTAATTCTCGGTAATTTTAATTTCAAAAAGTTTTATGTTTCGATATTACTGGAAATGTATTGTGATTTGTAATATTGTATTTCATTGTCTGGGACGTGCAATACGGTGTTTATGTTGAAATTTTCTAGATTCTGGCAGGACCAAGGAGTCCGGAGTTCTGACATTTACGAGCAGTCATAAATTCAGCTCGGGTACAGGGAACCGGACGCGCCTAAAAGGACAGGTCAGAACTTGTTACAGTTGCCTGTGAATGAGGGCCAGTATGATTGAGTTGCCTCGTTCAAGCTTCCTTACGGAAGATGGGATGACATGTATATGTCCACACCATGGAGAATTCAAATTTTTCGAATTCCCGGCATGGGTTGTGCAAGCCATTCCACACAAAGGGAGACTTTCACCATATTCCAAAGTGTACGGATGTGACCCTTGCATGCTCCAAGACCTAGCTTGCAGATCGTGTAACGCTATAACTTAAAGCATAAGGATATATAAAATTAACAGTGGTTTGGAGAACAAAAAGGTGAATAAACGTCAATTGGATCAACTCCCAGAATACCGCTTTCTTCGGCATTGCTACCCTGAGACTCATTCAAAACTGACCCAGCTAGTTTCCTGTATCTATACCGACCTTCCTTAGTTTGATCTGTGAGGACAACTTGCAGTGGCCATCATACACTCTCCTAAGGTAGAAACAGGTGTAGCAGGGATAGCACCATTCCGACTGAGCTGATATAAACAAAGGCGGGTTGGAAAAGAGCAGTGTTAATACAATCTGGGACAGCTGCACGACAAATAATAAAAAAGAAACAAAACAGACACTACTGTGTCAACATTTCTTTCTATTCATTGTTGGTGGCAACGCTGCACAATTTGACCATTTTCTTGGGTCCTCTTCAGGCATACATGAATAACAGTTTAGCTTCTGTTAATCAATATGAATTCACATGGTGTCTGTATGATTATTCTATACTGACAATTATATCTTAATTTTAAAATGTGCTTCAAATATAGTTAAAATTAGACACTAAACCTGATAGTAAATGGATAAAAATTAAAATTACCATTAAAATTCGAATTAAAATGGCTATTAAGGTATTTATAGCCAATGTTACAAATTCCATTTAAGCCTTGTGCCTGCTACATATCATGTGTGTGTTGTTTGTTGTTCACCTATGGTAGTGATATTGTGTAGCTCCTTCTGAATATAGGTCATGTCGGT